TCAGCCTCCATTTTTTGGCCAACAGCTTGTTAGAAGAGTTTGAGCCTGCTCCCAGAACAAACTGCACCCATTTCTAAACTACAAAAATAAGAACCATTCAGAGTTGAGAAGAAGCATGATTACCCTGAAATAGCTTAAAGTACCTGAAAGATACAGCATTTCAAGCTTTTATTAACAAAGTTCGTTTACTGTAAACCTGGTGGGTCTGTAGACAGACGGGCCCTCTACAAGTGCAATGGCTTTGCTATAGTCTTGTAAATACTGTAGTTTAACTGAAGCAATAATTGTACAGCTGTGTATGGAACAGTGCTCTCTTCAAATAATCTACCCATCAGATGCTATATTTCTTTCCATCTAGCCTAGAGTACCTATGATGCCAGACTGCTAAAACTGAAGTCGGAATTATGAACTTATATAATACACCACCTTTTTTTAAAAAAAGGGAGGGGCACTTTAAGAAATACATTTCAGCCAGAAGCCTCCAGACTATTAAGGTGATGGAAGCAGCAGGATGCTCTTCTGTTACTATGACATCAGTTTACTTTTCTCAGCTGTTCATGCTTGGTAGATAGCTGTAGTAGTAATGTACATTAGATCATGATCAGTGTTCACGTTTCAAATTGGGACTTTCCATTTCTACTCTGAATGAGAACATCAAGTTTCTGAATGATCACATGATTAGAATCCAGCAATATTCCAAAATCGTTCACCTTCCTAGTAGCCCTAGAGCATGGAACATGTAGTAAAATTTACTACGATGTTGAGACTGTGCTTTGTTCCAGAGTGTTTATTGCCAAATCAAGCTCTCTTGTGTGCCCAGTCTCTGCATAGATACTTGCTTTATAGCCTACAGAGAGACCCCAATGCAGTTTTATTGTTTACCTCTAGTCCAACCTCACTGATTAAGGGCAACCATTTTCTAAGCTCAAAATCCTGCCAAAAAGAAAGCTGCCAATAATGAACTAGGCCTCTTATAACAACCCAAAGTCGTTAGTTCAAGTTAGTCAGTTGCTACCAACATTTAAGGCAAATTTAAGTAATTAAGCTCTTCCCCCAAAACACCAAGCGGAAGCATGATCTTGCAAACAGAAGATCATACAGACTGTATGTCTAGTTATTACTGATTCAGTTATCTTAGGCATCTGTTTGCTCAGTGTAACTAAGTCTTTGCACAAGTAGATCTATCTCCTAAACCCAAAAGGTCCTTCATTTATGAAGCTCTCATATATAATTCTTTACTAGATTTGACAGCTCATGGCCTATATTCAGCTGAGTGAAACGGGTTCAGATTTCGCCTCCGTACAAGTCACTATGTGCACTTTTGCTCCAAGTTCTATTCAAACCAAAAGAGACATCTACTTGTGCTACAAAACTAAACCGAGCTAAAACCCATTTGTGTTTTATACTGGAACACTTGAGGCATTCCCTTCTATTAATCAGCAGAAGAGTGACTGAACTGCATGTTGAAATCAAAGGCCTCTAGTGAATCCTTCTCCCCCCCCCACCCGCCCCACACTTTTGTGCACTATTAACCAGAATATGAAAGCACCCAATCTTCTGGATGTTTGCATCACAGGCAAACGGTGACTTGTGTTAAGAGTGAACCAGCAAGACTACAGAGATACAGTACATGGCCTTCAGCACTGGCATTTTGATCACGAGTTCCCTTGTCTCTACCTCAACTACTATTCACATTTCAGTGCAAGCCACAACTCACCATATTTAAGGTAAAAATGGTTATTTCCATTCTGTTTTTAAAAAGTTGTACTTGAACACTTCCTTAAATCCAAACTTAGAACTACCTTGGTATTGGCACTGCTACACAAAGTCTCCTTTGAGAAAAGCAAACTAGTTTAATACCTCATGATCTAAAATGACAGCTTTGACTGCCTTGCCATTCCTGTAAGCACTTGGAACTTCAGCAATTTTAATATTGCCAAATGGCTTGCAACATTGGTCAGCACTATTTTCAAACAAAGACACGAGGTTGCTAGTGAAGGTTATAGCTTTGGTGATTATCAGAACTAAAATATAAGGTCTGCAGCTGCTGGGACCTGAGCGACTGCTCCCATCCTGGCGGTCCTATTTGCAAGGTTTTATGGCTACAGCACATTCTTCACTCATTGCACACATGACCGACACCTACAAAGGAAAAAAAAAAACAGATTGTATTTACAACAGAAAATATAGCTAAGGCAACTGATCTCAGTACTACCTGTCCTGGACCAGGATTTCTCATATCGTAATCCATTTTTCAGCAAACAGCTCCCAAAGCAGTTTTTAATACACTAAAAGATATTATATAGGGAACACATCAGTAATCTAGAATAAGATAGAATGAAACCAGTACACAAAAGCGGGCACAGTCAAGTTACTTCCCACCAAATGCTAAAAAGCAGACTAAAATTCTTAACTGGATAGGCTATTTTTGTCAAAACATAAATATTACAGTACTGAAGGTTAAGCTAATCACTCAAAAATGTTTCTCTTGTTTTCAGGAACAAGTACTGAAATGCCTAAGGTTGACATGGGTATTTGTCTCCCCACCACCACTTCTGACAGAGGATGGGGAATAGAAGAAATCAGAGAAGTGTTATTTGCAATAGTACTTCCAGAAAAGCAAAGACAGCCACTGATACACCTTCAGTTTTACCCCAGAGGCTCAGGACATTAAAAGGCCCATCTGGCCATTTTCTCCCATCGCCTCAGCTTAATTCAGTCCGCTAAGTTCTCACCTGGAAATCCTCGCCTGCATTATATTTCCCTTCAATTTCTTTGCCTAGTTCACCTTCTGGCACCTTCAGATCCTCACGAACTTCACCACTTTCTGTCAGCAAAGAGAGGTAACCATCCTGAATACAGATTAGCTGCAAGAAATATTTAGAAGACATCTTTTATTTAGTTTACACTTACTTTGCTGATGAGACTATACATCTACCTCAGGATAATTAGCCATGTGGAAGAGCAGTTGTTGGATAAAGCGGAGCGTAAGCCAGTTGTGCTTTGCTTTCTGGCCTTACTTAGCTTGCGACTGAGAGCAGGAAGCTGCCTTTCAGGGTTCTAGGACACACAACCTGGGCTTAACCTGAGAAATCCTTAACAGCATGACCTACCACAGCCAAGTAGTTTTGTATCTCCCTATAAATACTGCTGAACGAAGTATGAGTTCAGTGGCACCTTTTAGACCAACGAAGTTTTATTCTGGGTACAAGCTTCCATACACACACACACACTTCTTCAGATTTTTGCATTTTCTTCAGATACCACATGTGCATACAAAAGCTTATACTCAGAATTAAACTTTACCAGTCTTAAAGGTGCCACTGGACTCAAACTTTGTTCTGCTGCTTCAGACCAACACGGCTACCCACCTGAATCTATAAATACTGCTGATACTGTCTGCAGAACTGCAGCCATGTGTTTGTGATGTCGTTCAAAACAATGTTGCTGAATATTTAAGTAATCCATACAAACTTCAACACTTTCTGTCAGCGAATACAGAAGACGGCTGCTACATTCCAATGGGTAGAGTCATTTCAGAATATTGATCCTACATTAAGATGTGCCTAAGTCCACTTAAATTGAATTGAAATCTGTGTTTAGATGCACCCAATTTTGCAAAGTCTCTTAAATACAGCTGATGCTTGTTAAAATAGAGATGCTATTACTGTTGTAGTACGCAAGACTGAAATTGTTAGGATTGACATGTTAAAACCAGCTTAAATCTTCCACTTCAATTTACTATTTTTTCATTAAAACAAGGAACTATTCCACATGGTAAAGCATTGATGAGTAAAACCAATGCCAACCAAAAATAAGCAGGAAAATAGCGAAGTCTTTCCCAAGATGCATGGAAAATCTGATGCAGCCATCTGCTCTGATAACCCTTGGCTAGTCAAAGTAAATCAAGGAAGAGAATTTTACAAGAGCAGCAGCTTATTGTATGGCATCACATTATTTCTAGAGAACAAAAAGCCCAAGTGGCCTAGATTCAAATGTGCACTTACTTGATAGTCATTCCTCTTGATATTTGGAACATCCATGTTGTGAGTGGAAGGACATATATCTTCATATTTTTTGCCAGTGAAAACATCAATACCAACTAGATGAACCTAAAAAGAGTATTTATCACAAGCTCAGACTTAACTATAGAAAGCACAAAACTTATTTTCACATATAAGAAATATAGGGGAGCAGTTGCTGGGCTTGACTAAAAACATCATGGACAATGTTTCCACAGGCCAGATTCAGGGCTGAGCTGGTCTCTCAGCTAAATATGACAAATAAGGAATTCAGGTTCCTAGAATAGAACAGCCTTGGAGAAAGCAAAGCACAAAGGAGAAAAAGACTAATATAGCCACTAGCAGATTAGACACAGCACAATTAATACCAATAGCTATGTGTTGGGGCTCAGTCAGGGGCAAGAAACATCTGAGAATGGCAAGAATGTCCAACTAAATATAGAAGTTGGGATCCAATAGATAATTGTGAATAAGAAAATTGTAATAACTGTTTTTTATAATATTGGTTATAGTTAATAGTAATAAGAATACGTTAACACAGACCTTATGTTTTTAGAAGATATGCAAGTACAAAGAACTCTGTATAGCGTCTGAAGATATAAGATAATTAGTTTGCCAAGAACGGGACTCCTATCAGGTGTGACAAAAAATATTGTGGGAACATGATTTTGAAAACCTGTAACTATGGGGGTATGTACTGATTATCAGCTCCTTCTTAGAAGAGTTTCCTTGGTCACCCAGGACACTTCCATGGCAGAGTAGAATTAAAGATGTAAACAGTTGTTTCTCAATAAAAAGATAAAATGAAAGCAGAATTCTCTAGTAATATTTTAATTCATCTAGTATACCCAGAACCGTGACTTGGATAGCCCAAGCTAGGCCGATCTCATCACATCTCGGAAGCTGAGTGGGGTCAGCCCTAATTAGGGTTTGGGTGGGAGACCACCAAGAAGGTCCAAGGTTGCTATGCAGAGGCAGGCAATGGCAAGCCACTTCTCTTCCTCTCTTGCCTTGAAAACCCTACAGGGCCGCCCTAAGTCAGCTGCAACTTGACAGCACTTGCCGCCACCACCAGTATACCCGAAATGAAGCAAAAACATCGATGTGTACTTCTTTCCAGATTAATGATGTCATATAGGAAGCCTAGGGCTTCTTTATGCACAAACCTATATCTGAATTAGGCTTGACTAGAGTCATACAGAACATTATGCCTTGTAGATTATTCTCATTTACTTTCCCCTAGAAGCCAAGGAGGGGGAAGTTACCAGCGACTACCTTGCTTCCATCCAGTGTTCTGAAGTATCTTGCATACTTTACAAAACCGTTTTCCACTATTCAGAGAGCTGTTACTGATGAAACAAACACCATATGCATCACAAGCACATCACTTTCCTACTACAGCCCCTCTCCCACTAGTAGCTCAAAGATACTGGCAATCAGTGTTCCCTCTAAGCTGAGTTAGTGTGAGCTAGCTCATAGTTTTTTAGCCTCCAGCTCACACATTTTTATCTTAGCTCTGGAAGGATGGCTCCAGAATAAATTAATTTATGCAGGAGCCAAACTGCTTGCTCACAACTTTAATGCCAGCAGCTCACAAAGTAGAATTTTTGCTCACAAGGCTCCGCAGCTTAGAGGGAGCATTGCTGGCAATCAGTTTATCTCCTCTGACTTGCTTAAGAGTCTAGGGGTTAATGCAGCTGTAAAAATGGTCTTCTAACTGAGTCTAGCCCACAAGATAGCCTCCTACCTTTACACAGCTGATCTAGCCATCTGGATCCACACAAGGTTACCACTGAGACTAGACTGCTGTAAATGAACACTACACCACTCTCCCCTTGAAGTCAATTCAGACTCCAGCAGCTGCAGAACACCCAGCTAGGTTATTATAGGGAACAAGGCAGAGTGTGCATATAAGTTCCATTCTGCAGTCACTCCACTGGCTGCCCGTCAATTACCAGGCTCAAAGCATTGGCTATCACATACAAAGCCCTTCATCCCTCATATCCGCAGGACCGCCTGTTTCCCTATGCTCTGCCATGACAGCTTCGCTCCTCTGAACAGGGCAAAATCAGCAACGGCCTATACACGTGCATTCTCTGTGGTGGCCCTCATCTTTTGGAATGGCGTGCCTGATGAAGTTAGGAAAGCTCCCACTCTCCTGGCTTTCCACAAACTATGTACAACTGAATTATTCAGTTTGTGTATTGCTGCAAATATGCTTTTTCTACGTAATTTCTTCATTGCTTAATGTGTCATATTTAATTGCTTATGTTTTGTTTCAGAGGAAAGAGGAGGGAAATCAATAAGTGCTAGAGCTATGGGGAAAACCATATGTACATGTTCCTAAATGAGATACCCAAGCTCAAACATGTGACAGCACCTAGGGGATCCTATAACTCAGAGTCCCCCAATCTTGTTGAGCCTGTGGGCACTTTTGGAATTTTGAGGATGGGAATGGGTACCACCATAAAATGGCTGCCATGGGATTGCTGGGACCAATCACCAGATGTTCAAAGGCTTCAAATAAAACAGTCTCCTAAGATGGAGGCAGTTGTTTTTGAATATCTCCTGGGTTCTTCTGAAGCACACCGTGCTCCAGTGAGGTGAAGGAAACTTAGGATATGCTCTCTGCACCAGCAACCCACTGGCAGGCACCATGCTGGGGATCACTGCTCTGTCTCATAAGCTCCCTATTACCCTTGTGCACAGACACAGTTAGATACCTCTGGGTCCGCAGGAAGCTACAGTTTGTCACTAGTGCATTCATCATTAACGCACTGTGTGCAGACATACAGTTAGATACTTTCGGTTTTGCATCAAGCCAGAGTTTGTCATTAATGCATTTTATTTGCATTGATTTATTTATATCCTGCTTTTCTCCCCAGTTTGGACTCAAAACAGCTTTTCAAACATCATTCTCCTCTCCTCCATTTCCCCACAACAACAGTCCTGTGAAGTAGGCCACACTGACAGTCACCGAGTGAGCTTCCATGGCACAAGTGGGGTTTCAAACCCAAGTCACCCAGAGTCCTAGTCGGCCACTCTGTCCACTACATCACAGTGGTTCTCAATTAATCTGAATCAGCACAGAATCTGTGCAGATGAGGAGTCACAACTTGCTAGTTCAGATGCAACACTAAACCATGGTTTGCTACAAACCCAGAGACATCTTATTACCTAGACCTGTCCCAAGGATCCCCCCAGGCTTGTTCACATAGTAGCAAACCATCACAAGCAAAAACATCTCTGATTTGGTACAGTACATGGGCAAGGACACACAAAGAGGGACAGACAGCAGACTATAAATTTTCTGTCCAGTACTGGGATGCTTCTCCACCACAGTCTTCCCTCATGAAAAGAACCTAGCCAACAAAGGTATATAAGAAGGCAACTAATTAGGATTGCCATACAAGGAGGGTACATAATCGTAATTTAAATCTATATTGTACCTTACACAGTTCCTAGTGAATGTTTAGCATAGTAAGCTAGAAGTTGTAAGAGAAGGGCGCCGGTAGTGTACCAGAATTTTTAAAAAACATTGAACAACGCTATACCAAATATTACCTTGGCATGACCATGCTTGCCAGTTTTTGAAGTTGACATTTCCACAATCTTGCAGGGACGTCCCTTGAGCACCACAAATCCATTCTTGCGAAGTGCAGAACATTGCATGGGGTAGGTGGCAGAAGCACCGGCATCTCCAGTGGTGAAGTCAACTTCATCAGCCATTGTTTGTTGTGTATTCTAGGAGATACTATAAAATGTGACAAGTCAGCCCACCTGTTCTGAGGTCTGCCCATCCACTACACAGAACACAATATTTCAGTCAACTATGGAATAAAATCTTGTACTTTAGAGTGCATTCTGTATGGAAACTAACCACCTCGCCTCCAACACCTGACTCCAGCTGTCAGCAACATTACAGGTAGTATTCTTCTCAATCCTGTATAAAACAGCCCCATGTCATCTCAGCTCTCATTCCAATATGTTTGTTACATTTCTTACTGTATAGCTAACCCAACTTGCATTATAATACCCATTCGTCTTAAGATACTATAGTGAACGAAGAAAGAAAGGGAACCGTACTCATGGCTAAGGGCAGAAATCACTTCAGGTTGGCTTGTAAAAGGCCTTAAGCCGTGCTTTAAAGCACTACTTCTCAAGCTGCTAAGAAAAAAGAAAAAGAAAGGCTGCAGAGGATAAGAATAACAAATAGTTTACAAATAAGATTTCTCAAGCCATAACTAACATGGTGAAAATTAATTGATATACCCAGGCCCAGTGCAAACATGAAAAACACAGCTAATTGCTGGCAAAGCCCATTCCTCCAGCTCTGCACTGCATCTGTAATCCACTTCCCGTACATCAACTCCATTAAGTACTCGCATTGCTGCTGTGGTTCTCTGGGGCCACTTGCATACAGACGTACCACACCATTCAGGTACATCATAACATGGAACAGAATTGATCGGATAGGATAGCTGCAGCATGAAGCTTCCCATTGTACAGAAGGTTGGCAACAACTACAGCTAGTTCATTACGTTTGAATCAGCCTGGTTATCCTCAGGATAAAGTCACATGGACAGAGGAAGTATGTTAAGAACCAGAGGGAAAAACTGGCGTTGAGTGATCCATGCCGCTATGTTATTACAGCTTTTATTAAGCAGTCACAACTCATGTTACAATCTGCACTAGAACACTTTCTTTGAGCTTTGGGCCATAATATTAACTCTAATGGCATCATGAGCTCTCAGTCTGGCAGCCAAAACCAACAAACTGATCACCCGATTTCATATGAACCTAATCTCATAAGTGTCTGCAAGTTGTAAGGGTGTTATCAGGCCAGGTCTGGCAGGGGAAGCAGTGGCTAGCACCAACAACAAAAGAGAATAGGGATCCTGTATCTTTATGGTAAAAGAAAGGTCAGCAAGCAAAGCTCTGGACATCCCTGCCTGGTAACCTGCATCAGCCAAACTCCCTGTTCCACCTGAGGAATACGGAAGCCTTGTCTTCCTTCGTATCTGCTTACCCCAGCATTCGAGGGTTCCTGTAGTTATTGGGTGTGCCCAACCGGATTTTCAGGAAAGGAAGGGAATTCAATCTTGTACGTTATACATGACAACTTTAACAGAACCTCGATGCTCCGAAAGCACAAGCTGCTGGCAGAAGGGGGGGAAACAAGACGGAATCCTGGCCCCTGCACCTGAGCTCCCCACAAGCAGCCGATCATTTATCTGTTTCTTGTGAAATCAGGGCTACGATGGAGAGGCAGGGCCTGAGCAGCTCCTCCAACGGGTAGTTCAAGCGGCACCTCAAACCCTAACTGGCGAAGGGAACTTTTGAGTCTTGTAATTTCAGACCCTGAAACTCCTGATGGCCTCGAAGGTGCTACTGGATCTATCTGCTGGTGTCATTCAGCATCTGAAACCACGCCACTTTCCAATACAGAGGACAGATGGACCCCCACTCTAGCTGTATCTTAAGAAGTCAGCAGTGACTCGTGAAAGGCTATCCCCCCTGCCACAAATCGTGTTAGTCTTTAAGGTGCTACTGGGTTCTGGGCTCTTTTCTAGTGGATCTCTCTGTTCTACCTTTCTCCCAGGGCCTCAGGCTTAACCTGCCCCGCCCCGCCAAGGGTGGAATGAGTCGACAACCGCACCTGCCCGCTCTACTGCCTCGGCCACAGGCCTTCCCCCTCCTCGGGACCCAGGACCTGCTCGGGCCGGCAGAGGCCGGGCGCACAGCCAGGGAGCATCAAGGCTGCCCAGGCGGAGAGGAGGCGGCGGAGGCGGGGGGAGCGGCCACGCTGTTTCCCAACCGCCCCCACCCCCGCACGCCGGGGAAGCCAGCGAGACGAAACCGTCTCCCCAACCCAGGAGAAAGGGAGGGGGGCAGGGCGAGGCCTTCGCCCCCTGGCCAGAGAGAGACGCAGCCCTCAGGATTGGGCCTCGTGTCAACGACACGAGTCGGGAGGAGGATCCCGGGGCCGGGAGGAGCCCCCAGGCGGGCCGACTTCGGCTCCCCCATGCTTGGCCTAACGGAGTCGCCGTATATCGCTCGCGCGCCGCCCCCTTCCCTCGGACTCCTTCCAACGGTCCCCCCCCCCAAAAAAAAACACCCCACCGCGCACGCGACTGATTGGACGGAACGCGGCAAGGGCCGCCGGGCGACTTCTTACCTCGCGCAGGAAAGGAAAGGGCTGAGAGAGCGTCACGGCAACGCGCACGCGCAGATCAACCTTCGAGGGGGAGAAGGAATGGGGAACCCCCTCCCACTAAACGGCCTTCCTGCTACGGATGCACGAGTGCGCCTGCGTGTGGGACGTTCCCACTTTAAAAAAAAAAGATTTCGGCGCTTCCTGCTAAGGGAAACCGGAACCCTCATCGGCCATTGGCTAATTAACGGAAAGGCTCCGCCCCATGAGAAGACCCGAGCCGTTTTGTCGTGTGTACGTGACTACGTTTCCTCGCTTCCCCACCCCCCCGTATTCCGCATCTTCCTGGCCTGCTGTCGTTGGCTGGCGTCAGCGCAGCGGAGCCTACAAACTGGGTTTCTCTTTCATTCATCATGCACGTGCGGGCTGTTCAAGGCACGCGCTTCCTGGGTGGTACGGGGAGCAGGACGGGCCAGGAAGCCTCAGGTTTCTAGTGCGTAACGTTCGCTAAGGCAAGTTGTTGCACACTGGATAGAATGGAACGGATAGAACGCATCGGGTCTCACAACGGGCTTTACAGGGGAGGCCCTTTTCTAGATCAGCTAGATTCGAGTCCACTCGCACCTCAGAAACCAACAGCCTTTGGGGATATAAGTGAAAAAGGTCGTTGCATGTGTGTTTGGGGGACGCACAACTACTGGAATGGGAATAAACTGCAGCCCTGTCATATTACCCTGACACAGTGCCAGTGGGGAAGGCTGCTAGTAGATATCCAAGGCCCCCCAGCAGAGGAGAGGGGATTTTTAATTTTATTTTAAACAAATCACTTGCCTAGGCTCATAGAGCCTAGCAACGCCACTGGTGTCCTGGAAACACCACCAGTGCCCATGAGTCCACAGCACCAGGCAACTCCCCCCCCCAAACAGGCAGAGAACCGTGCCCCCCCCCCTATCAGCCTGCCCACGTCCAGAAGGCCAGGAGGGACAAAGTCCACCTGGGAAGACATCACTGTGAGGATTGTGGCCTCAGCAACAGGACCCCTGTAGAACATCAGAAGAGTCTTGCTGGATCAGTCCAGTGGTCCATCTAGTCCAGCATCTGGTCTCCCACAGTAGCCAAACCAGTCCTCTGGAGGGCCAACAACAGGGCAGAGAGGCCTTCCCCTGGTGTTGCCTCCTTGCTCTGGGATTCAGAGCCTTAGTGCCTCTGAATGTGGAGGTTCCCCACAGTCACCATCAATGTTCCCTCTAAGCTGTGGAGTCTTGTGAGCAAAAATTCTACTTTGTGAGCTACTGGTATTAAAGTTGTGAGTGAGTGACTTGGCTGCTGCATAAATTAGTTTGCTCTGGAGCCATCCTTCCTGAGCTAAGACAAAAATGTGTGAGCCGGAGGCTAAAAAACTCTGAGCTAGCTCACACTAACTCAGCTTAGAGGGAACACTGGTCAGCATGTAGTAAGAACATAAGAAGAGCCCTGCTGGATCAGACCAACGAGAGTCCATCTAGTCCAGTATCCTGTCTCTCACAGTGGCCAAACCAGTTCTCTGGAGGGCCAACAACAGGGCAGAGAGGCCTTCCCCTGACGTTGCCTCCTGGCACTAGGCACTATGAATGTGGAGGTTCCCCTCAGTCACCTGGGCTGGTAGCTAGACTTGCCCTCCATGAATTTATCTAGTCCCCTTTGAAAGTTGTTTATTCCTGTGGCCATGACTACATCCTCTGGAAGCAGACTCCACATTTTAAACACACTCTGTGTACAGATGTATTTCTTTTTCCTGAATCTGCTGCCCACCAGCTTCATTGGATGCCCCCAAGTTCTAATATTTTGGGAGAGGGAGAAAAAATTGTTTTTTCCCACCCTCTGTTGTGGCAGGACATCCCTGTGTAGAAGCCGTGCTGATTTGTCGTCAGCAGGCTTTGTCCTTCGATGTAAGTAAGACACAGGCAATGCTCCCTCTAAGCTGTGGAGTCTTGTGAGCAAAAATCCTACTTTGTGAGCTACTGGCATTAAAGTTGTGAGCGAGCGATTTGGCTCCTGCATTAATTAATTAATTTTTATTAGCTTGATTTATATCCTGCCCTCCCAAAGGCTCAGGGCGGCTCACATTCGGCGAAGCCGAGTATAAAATACAATAAAACATAGAATATAATATTTAAAATCACAATAAAACCTTCCTCTAATGTGGTGCTATACCTAATCATCCAAGATGGGAACAACCACCCAAATCTGGTGGCCAGCTGTCTCAGTAGTGCAGTCTCCCGCTACGCTGTCCAAACTTCTGCCTGGGCATGCCAGCCCCCCCCTTTTATATATAGGGCAGCCGATGACTTGCCCCATCGATGGTAGAATAGTGGCGGTGGAGATGGCTTTTTCAAGAGAGGACGGACCATTGCGTCTTGTGCTCTGGGGAACTGTCCCTCAATGAGGGACTTGTTGACAATCTCCTGCAGAGCACCTTGAAACCCCTCGTGGCCCACTTTAATAAGCCAGGAGGTGCTCCAACACCCAGCCTGATACGGCCTCCAGCAGGGATGGCAGACTATTAACCAGCGCGTTAGGTGGTCGGTACGCCAGCCAAATAGCCAAACTCTCCACAGCCTCCAGCATCACGCCGACACACTCAACGCCTGCGATCTCTACCTGCGGGAGCGCCCTGAAGGAGAAAGCCTCCCGAATGAATAGAGCCACACCTCCACACCCCCCGCCACACTCCACCTTTGTCCGTGATTGATGAAGGACCGAGAATCCCGGGGGGGCAAGCTGGGCGAGAGCTACTGTCTCGCCCTCTCGCACCCACGTCTCGGTCACGTATGCCAGGTCAGCCTGTTGTTTCTGTACAAAGTCCCGCAGGACCTCAACTTTATTGTTAACTAGCAGTAAAGCCCGTTGTGAAAGCAATACAACGAGATCTAGAAAGAGGCTCTGGGGCAGTGCTCTGGCTTTGGGCAAACAGTGTTAATTTGCTGTGGTGACCTCAGCAGGGTATAATGACAGAGTCCACTGTTTTCTCCAGAGGAACTGATCTCTGCTACCTGAAGAGCAGTTGTAATTGTGAGTAATCTGTAGCCCTCACCTGGAGATTGGCAACAATTGTTACCCAGGACATAATGGCTGGTTTGGAGGGTGGAGTCTATGGCATTCTACCTGTCTGAGGTCCCACCCCTCTGCAAACCCCACCCTCTCCAGGCTCCACCCCTCAAATCCCCAGGAATTTGTCAGCATGTAGTTGGCAACCCCATCTCCTTCCCAGCTAGCCACCAACCTACCATTATCTGCCCCTTTGACTTCAGCTGACTTCTGCCCTCCCTTCTGCAGAGCAGTTGTAATACTGAGTGCTCTCCAGCCCTCACCTGGAGATTGGCAACAATGGTTCCCTATGTGAGACTGACTGGTTTGGAGGGTGGAGTCTATGGCAGTGTACCTGTCTGAGGTCCCACCCCTCCTCAAACCTCACCCTCTTCAGGCTCCATCCCTCAAGTCTCCAGGAATTTCCCATCTGGAGTTGGCAACCCTATCAGGATTGGCCCCAATGTGTTTTCTCCCAAAGGCCAAAGTAGGTGACAGGACCAAGCTTAGTTGCCTACCAACAGGCACTGAGGGGAATGTAGGGTTGCCAGCTCTAAGGAGGGAAATACCTGGAGGTTTGGGGGGTGGATTCTGTAGAGGGCCGGGCGACGGAGGCATCGGCCTTCTGTCGCCCGCCTTGCCCCCCCAATCTCGGCCCGGGCACCCGCGGCTCCCACCAGCGGCCGCCCGACTCCAGACTCCCCCGCGGCCACTCCAGCCAGGCGACGGAGGCATCGGC